TTCTTAAATCTTTCGTCCTCCTTTTCATTGTAAGAAAAAATGGTCACCTTAATGCTACGCTAACGGGAGGATTTTGTCCTATGACGGATTTAATGTGCATCATCCCATTTACAAAGTGAATCGTAAGTGGCATTAGGACTAGAACTCGTGACTCGACAAAGTCGGCCATGAGTTCGTGAAAATGACCTTCGTTGGCTGCCAAGGCCACTTTGCTTCTATCAACAATCATCGTGTTCGATTAATTATAAGTGCCTTAAATCAGTGCTTCTCACACTTTCAATATTTGTGACCCAATTTTCAACCATTTTCACCACCGCCGCCCCCATATATAAACAATTTATTGAATGCAATGTTATTTGACGAAAAAGTTACAGTAAAAACTTAATTGTAAACCGTACAAATTATCAGGATAAGTATTAAGTGTATGTGTAACTTTTAAGTAATAGATATTTTAAATAAATTACTTTAAGGTATCCGACGACTATATAAGTTCGGAACCGTGATTTTAAAAAAGTGCATAAATGTATAATTTTCATAATATTTAGTGTCACTTAGATTACAATACATGTATAAAATTGTTTTAAGGACATTTTGACAAAAAAAAATTATTTAAATACAATATTTCGGCAAAAAATTAACTTAGAATAATCTTTTTTTTCAAAATGTTCTCCTTTTATAAAAAAATGCTTTAAAAATAGTAATATTTTGCTTATATAAAGTAAAGACTAAAGAGTCTGAACTAGGATTTTTGAAAAATGCACATTATTTTCAGAGTTACAAACCATTGAAATAATTATCGGCGTTTTTTTCTTAAAATGTCTCCCCTCTGTTGTCTTAAAACATGGATAAATCCACTTCTAAGTTATATATTTCAAAAATTCTAGTTGAGTCTCTGTACAAAGATCTGAGCTATATACAAGCAAAATATTATTATAATAGAAACATTTTTGACGAAAGGAGAACATTTTGAAAAAAGGTTATTATAAGTTTATTTTTTGCCGAAATATTGTATTTAAATAATTTTTTTTGTCAAAATATCTTTAAAACAATTTTACACTTGTATTCTAATCTAAATGACACTAAATATCACAAATATTATCCATTTATACGCTTTTGCAAAATCACGGTTCCGAACGTAGTCGGATACCTTAAGCACTAAGTTACTTTTACTGACTACATTTATAAGTGTATTATATGAGTGTATATGCTTATTTTATTTTTTAAAATGTCTGAATGTATTCTGGTTTGCTTCCAAATAATCTTTTATTTTCGACTTTTCTAAAAGTTCGTGCCTCCCACGTAGGATTATCACACCCCCTAGGGGGCGCACCCCACAGTTTGAGAATCGTTGCCATAAATCAATAAGGTTCCAAATATCCTTCTGTAAGACGGGTCGAGTTATTAAAAAACGGAGGGTAATAATTGTGGTTTCCATATCACTACACAGTAAATCAGAAAGGTTATGTCATCAATGAACACTTGTATCTCTGAATGTGTCAGCTCGCTTAATTGAATAATTCGACAAGGTTTTCACGTTTTTATAAAACCTTTTTTCCCCCATTACATCATATTTCCTCTAGAACAAGATTTTTTATTTGCATTAAGTTATGCTCCAAAAGATATTGTAGGACTTTAAAAAAGATACCTATTTTTTTCCCGCATACAACAGTATTAGTCTTTATTCAAGAAAAATATATTGTTACGTAGATCCGAGGGTTCGAGGATTTTATGCAAAACAATCACAAAGAAAAAATAATCAGTTCTTTAAGAGCGATGCGAATTTGTTATCGAAAATCCAATCCTTTCAATACAGGATTCATCGGCAATATTCACAGGGTAAATATCCGAAGGTCTTCACACCTTCAACAGCAATCAAACACAATAAACAGTGTTTAAAAATACACGTAAGTAAAGATTATTCACAAGCACAGCCGAGCTAATCGCTAGTCAAAACAATCCTCACTACTCGCTGGCTTAATCGAGACTCTCCGCCGTACCAGCGAGCATCGTTTTTATAGGCGCGACAGAAACTTCCAGAAATATAACCGCTCGTGTCATTGAACGTGACACTAGTGGAGAGATCTACTACTTTCTAGAAGTTTCCAGAGGGTTCCGAACTCACCAACATGGTCGCCAATGACGCCAAATTGGCCGCCAACTTCGTCACCAAAAATGATGCCAACTTGGCTCTCCCCATTATAACGTATGGGGTGTGGCATTGCTTGTGAATAGTACAATTTTAACATGAAATAAATATAACATAGAGTAATATAAATGCATTAAACACTCAAATACAAATTATTTACACTATTTACACAAAATTCGTAACAATATTATATCAAGTTGACGCATTATCTTGAATTGTTCTGTGTACTTAGATTTTTTATCTTGTTCGAAAATTCTCGCTTGTAGATTTGCAAACGTTTAGTCATAATTTATATTATTTACTTTAAACAGTTATGTTCATTTACTATGGTTAATAGATATCTTAATGGAATACGAAAATATATGAAATCAAATTTAATCAAAAAAAAAAAAAAAGGTTTTATTGTATAAAAGTCTTTTAAGATGAGTATTAACTTATACATGTGAAATTTGGTTCATGTCTCGAACAGATGAGAACATAATAAGTATCTACGAAAGGAAGATTTTAAGATTCATTTTTGGAGGAATTCAGGAAAATGGAACATGGCGAAGAAGATCAAATTTAGAGCTCTATTGATCACATAAGGAATCTGACATTATTAACTTCATCAAAATACAACGAATTAAACGGGCAGGTCATGCTATCAGAATAGACGAAGACCGCACCACTAAAAAAAGTCTTCAAGGCTCAAACAATTGGAACACGAAGAAAGGGCAGGCTAAATATCAGATGGATTGATGATCTAGAAAAAGATCTCCAAGTTTTAAGAACTAGGAATTGGAGAACACTGGCAGGAAGAAAGCTGGCCTGGAGAAGGCTTTTTGAGAAGGCCAAGGCCCACTCTGGGCTGTCGTGCCACTGAGGAAGGAAGGAAGTTATGTTCATTAAAATATATTTAATTTTTTAAATTATGTACATTTATACTAATAACACCTATAATACTCCTCTGCATTCTCTTTTTTTTGTTGTGTTTCACCTGAAATATTAAATGAGCTCGTCTGAAAGATTATATTAATTGGAGTTACTTTTTGGAGATGTAGAGGATAATGTTTATGAAAAATATAGTAGGATTGTTCATTCTGGTTAGATCTTAATTTTGGCGAAATGAATTGGAAGAATACTTCTCTTTGCTTAAAGTTTGTGTGTCCAGATTAAAGATATAATAAGAGGTCTTTTTTGAAAGATTGATTTCTAATCACCCATTGTAAAGCTTTTAATTCAAGAATGATTCATACTTTCAGATCCCCAAACTAGCACTCGGAAAGTTAATTGCTCAGTACAGGGAAGTTTCGTTATCACCAGAGACGTCCCTGGAATGCTATAATGTTGCCAAGATTCATTTCATAATACCAGGAGAATGGAGAAAGAGATGGATGACACAAACTGTTAAATAGTTGCTCTGGATCTCAAAACAATTTCTGGATCTTGTACAACTATTTATTGTTTATTAAAAACTGGACGAAATCTGTTCGGACAGGACAAACGCAAGAATAACATGACAAAGGCTCTTTTTTATAAGGTGAGGTATTTAACATAAGGGTTATTCCGGTGGTATAATTGGGAGCTCCCGTTCCAGCTTAGCTTTTGATTTTACAAAAATACTGAGGATTATTAGGAATTTATTAGGGATTTTCTTCTCGGGCTTTAAAATCAGGCTTGAATGGGTTAAATTCTAATAGTCATATGATAACTATAATCATGCTTTTCCAGCTAATCGGTTCATACGTTTCACTGATGCCAACTTTTGTTTTTTGTAGAAACTATCTTTTAAAAGTACACATTTCTGTCAATAATAATAACACACATAGATATAAAAAGTGAATTTGATTTAAAAGTACACATTTTAGTTTTTTTTTTAATTTTGAAAAACTTTAATATTTAGAACATTTTTATTCAGATATCAAATTCAAAATGCTACCTGCATTACACATGCAGAACAATTACAAGCCTAACGTCAGTTTTGAATTCAACGAAACACACGTGGTTGTATTTATCATGGGACGTCATGAAAGACTATTGAGTTAGATATCGGTTTTCTCGTCTACTTTTGATGCAACTGTGATCACATTGAGCTTAGTTATATAAAAGTTACGGTTCATACACTAAGAATTTTTGTAATGATTTAAAAATCTATTGAAAATTTATCTGCAAAAAAGAAGGAAAGAAATACACAGGCCATCGAAATACACATTTTATTTTCGATAGACATTAATTATGAACCAAATTAACTTCAACATGTCAAATGAGTAAAAGAGTTATATTAATTAAGTACACTTGACACACGCATACATATAAGTAATAACCTAACTCAATATTAGTTTTAATTTTCACATGGTTTTATGTATCTTAATAACGAATATATAGCACTTTACTTAGTTTTTAGAGTTCCAAACCTCCAAGGACAAAACAGACAAGTAATATATATATATATATATATATATATATATATATATATATATATATATATATATAAAAGTCAAAGTCAATTCCTACTTAGGTCAAGAAAGAAAAAATTTATTTTAGCTAATTTTTTTTAAATAGTTACAATTAATATAAATATATATATACATAGGACAGAATTACAATATTAAGTGACAAAATAGAAAGCGATTTTCCTTGCAATGTTCCATTTTCCTTTCTATATAGGGTGATTTGGACTATTTTTTGTTTGTTACTATTTTTATTCATTAATTAAGTTTAATTATTCCAATAAAAGTGTTCAATAAATAAATTTTCCTTTCTATATAGGGTGTGGGATTAATTTTTGTTTGTTGCCATTTATTCGTTAATTAAATTTAAAATTATTCAAATAAAATAGTATAGTAAAAAGAAATCACATTCTCAGAAATTAGGCCATTTCTGGTGGGATTCGAACCCATTAACTTTGGATTAAAAGTCCAACGCGCTATCGATTGCGCTACAGGGACACGACAAGCGATTTTCCTTTTTATATACTATCATGTTGGACTATTTTGTTTGTTACTATGTATTCCTTAATTAAATTTAATTAATGAATTAATATTTGAAAAAAACTGTATTAACATCAAGTGTTAGCGCAAGGGCGTAGCTACCACCGTATCAATAATATAGGGCCCCAATATGTGTGAGAAAAGCAATCCTTAAGTGTCACGGTGCCCCAAAAAGGGCCCACAAGAAATTTTGATACCGGGCCCACTGAGGATTAGCTACGCCAGTGTGTATCTACCTATGTGTATTTGAACTTTAGTGGTGTAACATCGTCTTGTAGTTGAATTAATCAGCTCTAATTAACTGGATTTACCGTTTTTATTATTTCCTTCAAAACACATCACTATATTAATAATTTCATTTACAATTAAAAGTCACATCGGGAACTACAGGCAGCTTCGTTCATCTTACGTTCGAGACTCTCTTCTTCTTCTCTCCTTCCCGCTCAAAGGCCAAAACAGTTCACAGCAGCGCCCTCTTTCTAGTCTATCGTGTGCTATGTGTCAAGCCTCCTAGTGTACTATGTGCCACGCCGTTACAGTGGATGAATAGAAAAGAATTTTATTAACGATTGAAAATTTGAACAAGATATATATACATATACACAGTGGCGCACACAAGGGGGGGTCCCCCAAAGCCCTTGATTTTTTCCCGATTGATTATAATTCTAAGTACATAGTACGTAAAATTTAATTAAGTATTTGTTATTAACGATTAATTTTATTAATTAATGCTAATTATTTATTCTATAATTAGTTTTTCACTGTGTTTTGTTCTCGAAAATCGACAAAATTAAAAGGAGCATGATACAAGAATGGTGAACTTTCGACCCCGGACCCCCCCTCCCCTTGAAAAATTCCTGTGTGCGCTATTGCTTGTCACCGTACCAAAATCAAATATTTAAGAACAATGCATTAAAAATTTAGCGAGAAACTCTATCAATCAAACAATCAAATATGTTATATTTGCTATCGATGTCGTGCTAGTACGAATTATGAGATAACTTTTTTTTTGTAATTGTAACGGTTAGCGATAACAACTGACAGAGGAGTAGTGACCGTTTTATGAGCGAAACTATTTTTTAATTAACTCTCATGTGTTTTAAACAAAAAAAAGTATCTCAAGAATATATGCTGTTTCAAGTAGTGACTATTTAGTAGAAAGGGGAGGAAAAAACATGGATTAACAAATTGTTTGATTTGTTTTGTCATGAAAATGCTATATTTAAAAATATATAATTTTGCTCGTCACTATATACCACTAAGCATAAATCTTTTAATGGCTCTTTTTCTTGAAGACGAGACGAGATGAATTGGCTTTCTTAAAAAAATCTTTACAACAACAAAATACAAAATATTTTAAAGGCTAATTTAAAATATTAAAAATGTCACAAAATGCAGAGGTAACAAAAACATCCTATAAAATATGTTACATTATATAAATTGATAAACATATGATTTGAAACCGAAATTGTTAGAGTGTTTCTTAAATGTTTCCGATGTACTCTTTGATATAAACTCAGTTATTTGTTCAAATATTTTTTGGGTGAAATCTAAAAGTATTTGAATAAATTTGAAACAAAAATGCCCAAGCAAACCTGAATTAATTTTAAACGAATAATACTGATTTCAGTCTGAAATTCAATAAAAACTCTTTGCTACCATCCTGCACTTGATAAATTAATATCTTAAATAATAATATAAAAAAAATTAAAGTCAATTTCTACTTAGGTCAACAAAGAAAACATTTATTTTAGTTAATTAAATTTTATTAATGAATTAGTATTTGGAAAAACTGAATTTACTTCAAGTGTCATCCACTGCAAGTTTTAAAAGATATCTTTGAAGCCAAGAAAAAAATCGTTAGAAAAACGTACTGAGGCCATCTGTTGGTGCTAGTTCTAACTTCGTCAGAAATAATGCAGAATAAATTTAATATTAATAAATAAAATTTAATTAATGAATTAATATTTGAAAAAATTGTATTAACATCAAGTGTCATTCACTACAAGTTTAAAAAAATGTATTTGAACTTGAATGGATGAATAGAAAGTATTTTATTAACGGTTGAAAACTTGAACAAGATATGTACATATAAATAATTAAATAAATATAGGGATAGAGTGAACTAATAGTAGGAATTGTTAAAAATAGGTGAGGTTTTGACAAAAAAAAATATCAAATAATCAAAGTACATGGCAGAGCCTCGTTTTCATGACATCAGAATGCAAACTAGGGGGCTAGGGATCATTGATGAAAGGAAATCGAAATTACCCCATATCTGGATAAACAATCAATCAATCAACTGAATTACATGTGATATGTAAATTCTTCGAGTAGAAAACTTCGCGCATTATAATAATCATTTAATATTCAAAATAAAATTTGATTTCTGAAACATATTTTTGGTGTAGTTTGTGACTCAATTACTGTATAAAAAATGATCCTTCATTTAATCGCTTTGAGGATTTTGTATTAAGAAAAAAAACACCAAAAAATTATTGGCTACGGATCTTATAATTACGAGTCATCTTCAAGCTAAGTGTATGACACAAAAACTAATATCTCCATTTAATAAACGTCTACACCATAACACGTGAGGATCTTAAGATTTCTTACTGTTTAAATCCACTGTACATATCTATATATATATATATATATATATATATATATATATATATATATATATATATATATATATCATTATTCAACACAAATATTTAATTTTTATTATCTCAGTTTTCTTTTTTTCCAATGTCTTCCACGAGTCTTATTGGAAAAAATAATTATTGGAAATAAAAAGGAACATCGAAATTATGCCCAGGCGGTTCTTTCAATTCTTGCATTCTTTGTAGTGCATTTAAAAAGTTAGATTTCTTTTCATCGATGTGTATCGCATTGTGTCATTGTTAAGGCTTTGACAAATAAGACCATGAATGAAGTTCCATTCATATACGTCTTTTGACAAATCCTTGAAAATGATAGACTTCTGTATGAATGACGAGATGGAAAAAGATACAGGTGTTACAAAAGTCTTTATTTAGAAAAGAAATGGGTAACACAATTCAATTTGTCCATTAAAATTTTATCGCTAAGCATCGCCAGTATAGGTCTTATTATATGAATGATAATTTATCCAAAGGTTTTTTATTCTTGTTTTCCTTTCCCTTTTTTTCTATTTGCCGTTACCACGGTAACAAATCTGACAAGATTAAAACAGTCACGTGACTGAAATGAGGAGAATTTGAGTGACGACTTTTTGATTGGCGTAAATTGCCAATTATGATTTTTGCATTTGTCGAATCATTTCACTTTTCTAATTCGCACACCCCCATCAACGTAAAAATTTGGAAGCGATTTCCAATGGGCTCAATTCCTGACGGTCTTATGATACAGACAAGCACGTGTTTTGTATTGAATCCAAAGCAGACATTGTACTTGTTGTTCTATTTGTAAAACTTAGATAGAATTTCAAATTTCAAATTGGATAAAGATGTTTAAATGTTATAATTTTTTTTCAAGAAAAAAAATCTTAAAATTAAAAAAAAAGTTATTTTGTGCATGTATTTTTAAATAACAGGCATTTTGTATAACTACGTACATTATTATTATGTACATTTTAATAATACGTTACCAATATGTACATTTTAAGAGAAAGTTTCTGAAAAGAGCAAAAGTTGGCAACAACGAAGCACAGGAACTGATTAGCTGGTCCATGATTGCTTTAACTATGTGGTTATGACATCACATGAGTTTTTGAACTGATTGGCTAGAAGCACGTAGTTGTCATTATCATGTGAATGTGACGTCACATGAATTTAGCTCATTTAGCTAACTCAATCATTAATGGCGACTTTAGACTATAGGAGACTTTAAAATCTACAGTAATTTGATTCCAATCTTATTAAAGTTTCGATACTGTTTTACCTGAGAAGTACGAAATTTCGACTTTAATTTGCCTTAAATAATTCTTGGTGATATCCTTTTTTTTCATAATGAGAGCTTAATGCATCTTGACCAAATATGTAGGTTTTATCAAATAAACCAACTATATAACCAAAAAAATTATGTACAGTAAATTAGTAATAAAGTTGTAAATGGTAGAATGTAATGAAAATGATTTCAGAATGTGTATAGAGAAAACCATTATACATTCCGTTAATACCATTTTTATCATCTGAATATCGATTTTATAAAGTTTGATCATAAATTCTTATTAAATAAAATATTGAACATATGTTCCTCTACACTAATTCATCACATTCTTTCTCAAGAAAAAAAAATTTCAGCCTTTAAATTTTTTCTCCGTGTTTTGAATTTGACGATTGAGAAATTTTGGAACGTCTTTTTGGCGGGATCATCTTTGAAATAAAATTTTGTGATGAAAACAATCAAAAGAATAATTCTTTATCCGCCCTTTTTTTAAAAAAAAGGGAAGGAGAACTTATGGGAAAAAAATGAAATTTTTAATCGAATTCTAAGTCATTCTTTTTAGAGAAAATATATATTGAAAAAGGAAAAAAAAAATATGCGGAATTTAATTATCGCATATTTAATATTGCTCCATTTTTTAGGAACTTCAGCATTGTTTTAATGCCTTTTTTCATTGTGCACTATTGAATTAATTGCTTCTTAAAAAAGAAGACTACTTGCTTGTTATTGGCTGGCAAAAAAAAACTCGTTACCAATAAGATTTCAAATTAAAAAATCATTCGGATTTTTTTAAAACTGATATCGAAACTCGTGATGTTTATAGTTCCTTTATCTTTAAAAGACACCAATAATGCAATATTTTACTTTTACACCAAACTGCGATAAAAGTCAGAAATCGAACAGCTGTGTTTGAGTCTTTTCTGCAATTTTTTTTTATTTCTCTGTTAGTCGTCTGATTAACGATGAGAAATAATTTCTCAGCTCCAGCTGTTTCGCTGTAACCGTGTCTGTGTTTCACTGAGGTAACG